CGGCGGGAGCGCCGCTGCGCTCCCAAGCAGCGCACTCTCCAGTGCGCCACCGGGCCGGCCCTCATTTGGTTATTTTGATGGCTAAATATGTTAATACTTGTAAAATAGTCTGCATGATGTGCTTGGTTCAGTAGATGTTAGCTATGACCATTATTACTTATCCAGAGGTCAGACTGGTAGTGAATTTGGACATCTGGAGCCCCCAAAGAACCCCAAAGTAACTGAAAATGCTTTTGAGTGACAGACAGACGTCACAAGTTCATGTCCTTTACTCTGGGGATGGTGGATACCCTGCCCTGGGCTGTCACTCAGGTGAAGGCATGTAAAATATGGCAGCTGATAACAGCAGCTGCTGGAACACAGAGAAGTGACAGTTGCAGGAGAAGAAGGCTATGGAAGCTACAGACTCAAAGCACAGCTGTATGAGGCCACTTAGTGGCCTGGCTGGCAGCCCTGTATGTCCCTGAGGCCCCACAAGGATCTCCTACTTCCCATATTGTGCAGAAGTGCATGCCCTGAGTCACTGAGAAGAGGTTAACAAGGGTTGATATACCAGCTTAAGGTAGTAAGGAACAGTGCAAAGTATTTAAAATTATGTATTATCAAAAGGCTTAAGTGTACTTTAAATTCTTTGGTGCCAAAAGGAACAAGTATCATTTCCCTGTGACATCACTTGTTGGGAAAAGCTGGCTAAATGAGTTATGTATAATAATCAGTACTTCTTAGAATGCTGGTGAAGTTTAGATGAGCCTTGCTCTTAGACAGCATCCTGTTCTTAGAGGAATCTCATTAGCATCTCATGCACAGAGCTTGCGCTGGGCGGAGCAAAAGGGGCAGCCATGTGAAAGACAATCTCTGAGTACCTCAGGGTGGCCTGGGGCTCAACTGCTGCCCCTGCTCCCTGTTTACCTGCCTGGGAGAATTCTGACCCTATCGTCCAGGCCCTGCTCAAATGCTACCTCCTCTGGAAAGCTTGGCATGGTTTGAGCTTTTTTACATCAAGGTCTCCTATGCTTTGTTTGCCAGGGGTCTTTCAAGGCTGTGCCAGCCTGGATGCTGGAAAACCTCATTATCATAATTTCCCTTCTGCCTTGGGTTACTCTAGCCCTGAGGCCCATGCCTACTTCCTGTGGTTGTCCCAACTCTTACCCCTTTGGGGATCACCTCCTGCAGGGAGCTCTGAGCATCCTCCTCACCATCATCCTCCAAGTCATCTAGATCAGACTCGCCCTCAGCAATGGGCACAGAGACCCACAAGTTAGGATTGGTGATGAAGTCACTTTGTTCATCCCTGGAGCCTCTGGGAGCCGGGATACCCCTAGGACTCCCCAGAGCAGCGTCAGCAGCAATGTGGTTCTTGGCTTTGGAGCTGGAGAGTGGGAGTTTCACCACCAGCTGGGGCTCTGCCTTGGGTCCGGGGAGTGGGCAGGGCCTGCTGAAGAAGCTGCAAAGGGCCTGCTTGGTGCGACGTCCAAACACCTGGATCCGTGCCAGGGCCACCTGCAGGTTGTTCACCTCCCCATCGTCCTCTGGGGCTGTGAGGTTGTCGGCACTGAAGGAGTTCAGCAACAGTGCGATGAACAGGTTGAGCACCTGAAGGGAGGGAATGGAAGGAAAGGCAGACCAATCAGTGAGTTGAGTCCTACCTTGGCCCATCAGATGGGCAGCTGGAAGGCAGGACAGCCAGAACCTGGGCCTCTCCCTGCCCACCCGGGATGCTCTTCCTCTTGGGGGAAATGGGCATTCTGAGAGCAGCTGATGGGATGTCCCAGAGTGACCTGCCTCACGTGGACAAGGCTTAGAAGCA